AGAAATAGGCCCTTGATGCTTTGCTTGTTTTATGTGGCAAGCTGATTTGTTTAGAAGTAAACTAGCTACATCTGAAAAGGCAAATGATTATTTATTTCATGGGAAATTGAACTGCATATTTATTTACACATTTTAAACACGATCAAGTACAGCAGTTTGGCAAGCTTCTACTGAGGAACAAATGCAGAAACATTTTAGCAAATGATGGCATAGCTCAAGATTAAGCGGTTTTTAAAAACCATTACCATTTTAATGTCTACAGATTGCTCCATTCCTGTCACTAATACACTCATGCCTTAAACAATCTGAATCTAATTTGTATTGTTATTTATCTTTTACTGCCAAATAAATGCCAAATAAATTGTCAGTGGACAAATCTTAAATTTCCCACTTGACATTCACACAAAGGGTTTAGCATCATCCTGATCAACAATTCCATCATGACTGACCTCTTTTTATTGACAATGAACAGAACACAATGCTCAGTGAAACTGCAATACCTAGGCCAGTGTTTAATTAATTAGGCAATTCCTATGAATCTAACAGTTAATTTGCATGTGATATACAGCAAAGTAAAGGGAACACTCATATTTCATCCTGCATAAATAAAACTAGTGCAGAAGTCTTTCTTCAGGTTAGGATGACTGTAGCTGTATATTTCCTTGTTTCTATACTGAGGATATACCTCTCTGATTTTTGCTTTTATTTCTATTTTATGTCTTAAGTTAATGTGCAAACAATCAATTGGAAAAAAATCAATTGGAAAAAAAAAGCAAAACATTTATTTGCGTTTATGGTATTGACCTAGTGGAGCTGTAAGTACTTCAGTTCAAACAGAAGGGCACTTGCCTTTTGGGTCACTGGTAGTAAGGCCAGATTTTTGATCAGCATTCAAGTCCAGCATGTCATCACACAAGAACATGAGAGGTTAGTAGGGCAGATTTTAAAACATTTGACTGTGGGACTGCTGTCTGATTTATACATTCATAACTTCTAGGATTGTGCATGCAAATTCGGCAAGCTTGAACTCAAATGACTCCTTGCAATTCTAATACCCATACTTAATGCATTAATTGATTATTTTATTTAGTAAGTTGCTGGACCTACAAAAGAATATTTATATCTACATTCATGAGTTAACAATACAATTAATGGTGCTTTCCCAATTGAAACTAAATGAAAATATTGGAATTCTCCAAAAATTAGATTTGCAATTAGAAAAAACTTTTTTTTCTGTTTGTTCTAAAAATTGATGTCGATACATTAAAAACGTTAGGTAACTGATTTTGGTCAGATAAACAATAATCCTTGCTAATTTATAATAAAAATCATAATTCTTAGTGGTCTTGAATATCAGCAATTAAACTCTGTAATGAAAAGAGCTGCAGAAAGCAAAAACTGGTCATGTATCTAGTGAGAATTGCTGGAGAACTTTAGTTGACGTACTTGCATTAAAAGTTGGCTAACATACTGAAGCAATACCTCATAAAACTGCAAAAGCACTGAGATGCTACTTTAGCCAAAATGTATTTCTGACTCTTTAGCAATTAAAGCTGCCATGGAACATTTATCAGTCCATCATCTCACTTTTCTGATATACTGCCTTTCTTTTTCTCTTTCTTTTCTTCTTTCTCTCTTTCTTTCTCTCTTTCCTTTTCCATTTCTGTTTATTTTTCTTTTCTTTTTGCTTTTTCTTTTCCTTTCTTTCTTTTTTTTTTGCTATAAAGGGATTAGCTTACTGGAAAATATGAAAGCAATTCATATTTTTAAAAAATCCCATTTTTTTTTCTCTTTTGTTGACAGCACATAGAAAATGTGGGTTGACTTATTTTTGATTGTTCTTTAAATAACAGATTAATTTAATAATTGCCAAGATATTGAATAACAAAAAATTATGGGGTTGGATAGCCAAACCCTGACCCTAATGACATTCTTACGTTAATTCTTATTTTCTTTTAGGTTCCTGCTTTCTTAATAAAACCTATATTTTTGAAAATCAGTTTAAACACTGCAAATTATCTCAAAGTAGCATTTATTTTTTTGCAAGGAAGAGATAAGTTTACATGTAGAGAGTATACTTTATATATCTTTATACGCTCAGTGCCTGACTCAAGCCCATTTCAGTCTATAGGTGCATTTCCATTTCTAGAATAAGTTTTGAGAATAAGTTTTGAGTGATGACTTGCGAAGGTAATCCAGCCATTTATGAAGTAATTAGCATAAACCATGGAGTGTGATTTATTTGTGAAGGTACTTTAAGTTTAAGCATCCATCATTAAAAGTTAGAGTATTTATAAGAGCAAGGCTTAGTTTTCCTAACTACAGCTGGTTACTGTTTCCCTTTGATTAAGCACTGTGAAGCGCTGAGTATTCCAAGACCAGTAATAGCAAATTCAGTTTTGAGTTAAACTGAGACCTTGGCTCTCAGCACATGACCCTCTTAATGATGGCTTTGACTTTGTTAGCAATAGCACAGTATTTGTACTCCAAGATGTCTTATCTAAGTAACACTCTACGATTTCAATTAACAACAGTCATCATTTTTATTTCTGCTCTAGAACTATCTTTATTTTCCTTTTTCAGACAAGGGCTCTCTTGTGCTTGACACTATAGGAAAGATAGTGACTTGAATAAGTAACCTATGACAAAAATTGCAGCAGAGTACTGTACAAGTTCTAGCTGAAAACCAGTTCACAGTATACGGACTTTTTACGAAGTGTTCTTGAGAGGAAGTGGTTATCCTACAATATTAGCATGGATGAATGTTCAGCTAAATATCTACATACCCCTTCTTCTAATTCTAATAAATGTTGGCAATACATTACAAATAGATTAAACTGTAACAGAAATCCAAGGTGGGCACATAAAAATACTCCACTGTCTCAAAGGGAGGTGATTTGAGCCCCACATACACAACAGACATTGTTCAGATGTGATCACGGAGCAAAGCATCAGTTCACATCTCACTGAATATAAGGCTGAACCCTAATTTTGAGTGATTGAGCTCATCATTCTTAAATTACAAGTGTTAAGCAATACACTTGCTAGTAAAAATATTTATTGATACTGAGACCACGAAACAGAAAACTGGGTCAGAAGATGTAGGTCTACAAAGGACTTTGGGTCAAATTCCTTAGCTGTTCTGCGGGAAAGTGTCTGGGGTTATAACAAAAATATTTGGAATCTAATGTAGTCTGCAATCTTAGATGCAATTTGTAGATTATTAATGACAGTGGGTAAATGGTATAATGAAGAACTTTCCCATGAGAATCTAACAGTTCTTCTGGATTATTTCTTTAGGTTTTGCCATTACTTGTGGAGAAGAATAACGCGTGCCTTGAGATCAGTTTGTAACTTACAGGGTTTTCTTTTCTTTCTTTTTTTTTGTTTCACTGCGGAACACAACATGTTTTTCTATGAAAAAGATCTTAGCGCATTATTTTTGAAATACTATAATTTTCACTCAACGCAGTTTCCAACTCATTGCTGTCCAAGCATTGCAGAATTGTGTTATTTTTGAAAGTTATTTCCTTTGACCTGAAGTTACCTAAGAAGACAGACTGAAATCTGCATTCCTCTGAGAAAACCTGGCCCTGTTAGATTAATTTTCTTTTATAGAAACGTGCCTATTTGCAATATTTAAGCACAAGATAATTGTTACACAGCTTTTCAGTACTATTCTGCTAAATGAGCACGGAACTGCTTGAACTCTACAGAGCTGGCATCAAGCACCCAAAGCAGTGCAATGTACATTGTATTTCACTTGTCAAGTGGAAAAGCCATAGCTTGATTTTGTTGTGTTTGTTCTTTTCAGTCAGTGGAACTGAACACTTAGACACTTAAAGTGTTCCCTCGGATTGACTTACGAAGAACTTTTGTATTTCTATCCTACAAAGCTATCATGTAAAAACAATTATTCACCAAGATTTTAATAATTTCCATATAATTAAAAGTTGGTCAACAGCAAATAAAAAGTTTATATCAGTGCTTGAATGATATCTCCAGTGCACTTACTCTTATTTTCTATTCTAAAAATAGTGAATGCATTGAGGAGAAAATTTAGCAGCCAATCCTATTAACTTCAAAAAGATGTTTTCACCTTTTTTTCTATCTCCACATTGATTTATTCCAGAAGGGGACAGCTGTAACAAGTTTTGTTTGATTTACACATTCTTGACATTTATATTGTTAGACAAATTATTGCAATGTATCTCCATTGTGATTATGACCTCTCAGCAAAAAGGAAATCTAATTAAAAGAGACTCATTGAAATACAGAAATTTGCATAAACAATATTCATGTTCACTACCTACACAATTCTCCAATTAGGGTGCAGCATAACTGCAGTACAAATGTTGTTGTACGAAGGCTTGAAATACAAAAGAGACATTTTCGGAATGAAGGAAGAAAGTCATTCTCTTCTTTTAACCCTATGACGGGCAACTTTACAGTATCACCAGCAGAACTGACAAGGTTACAGCACTGACATGAGAGATGTGTAACTACTAACTCAGCTTCCTAGCACTGAAAGTTTGAAGGATAGGTTTAATCTTCTCCCACTCTTTTCAGCCTAACAGTTCTAAGCAGGAAACATTTGGCATGCAAGTAAAACAACCAGATCTCACCATAGCACAGGGGAATTTGTAACCTACCCAGCAGAGTTCCATTCCTCTGTAGAAGCGCTAACAGTACTAACTTCTCTGTAGCCAAATCTTCGCAAAATTTTCCCTTAGAGTGCTGCCCATTCCCAGGAGAAGACTTCAGTATTCTTTGAAATTAACAAAAGTTTCTACTGGTTTTACATTTTTTAAAAAAAGAAAATAATAGGCACTGCTTTAATTTCAGAGTATTAAACTTGTAAATGACCCGTGGAATAAGAGACAGTGGTCGTTATCTAAGATAAAACATACAGACTTGTACGTTCTTCAACATAACCTTCAATAATTCAGTTTTACTGCTTTGCCACAAAATTGTATAAAAAAAAAATCAAAAGGGCTTACTTGAAACAGTCATCGCAAGCAATATTCCCCGTGGTCTCCTTTATAGTGCGTTCGGAAACAAAAGCTGGATATTCAGTATCACAGGGCTCTAGGGTTTGTTTCAACCTCTGCGCTATAGGCACAGCAAAAACAATTCTTGATGTTAACATGGGAAGAACAGCAGACAGAATTCTGAACAAGATGAGAAGCTGTATTACAGAGCACAGAGAATGGAAATGTTACTCAGCTTCTGCCACCCTGTGAGATTTCCTAGGCAGTGCATAACACTATTTTTTCAAATGAAGGAAAAAAAGAAATCCATCAATGGAATGTAATTTTCTAACATATAACCATTAAAGTAGTTATCCATGGTTTAGCCTTTGCCAAACTTGTTTATATTTACAGACAATTACTTATTCTTTCTCCATGGAATCAGGACGGAGTTGCTGTTGTTTTTATTTCAGTGATGTTGTGCATCACTAGCTCATTAAGTATGGGTGCTTCCATGTATTTGATAACTAAATTTTGATAGATTTTACTGAAGCCAAAAATACTTTTTTTGAGTTAAGACTTGGAAATCTTTAAAGAGTTTCAGTAGTAAAAATAACTCTGTGGGTAGAGGACAGAAGCATTACCTTGTCTAGAACTAATGCCTGTAATCTGCTTCCCAAATTTGTAATCATAAAAACACCGTGACAATTTTCACTAGCACAAGGGTCAAGAAGGGGACATTATTTATACCTTAAAGGTGGGGAAATGAAGGCACAAGAAAATGTGAGTGTTCAAGGTCAAATGACAGGACAGCAGCAGGGCTGGGAACTTCAGGCAGCTCTTCTGACTCTCATGCTGATGCATCTGTTGGACAATGTCTTTCCCTCATTCCTTCCTTTTCCTCTACACCCCTTCATTCTTCCTTAACACAGAGATACACTTGCACATCAGCACAAATGTTAAGCATATCTTAAACTAATTGCTAAGTGAGAAAACAAGACCAAGGATGACAAAAATAGATTACACTAAACAGACTCTTGGACTCCACAGATCTTCCTTTCAAGACAATCTGTTTCAGAGCCAGTGGTGTATTTATTACACACTGACAGTGGAATGAACCAAACTGCATTTGCAATCATGTCTGTTTCTGAAACGTATTTAATTAGAATAAATATTCACCCAAAGAGTACCTCAAGAATGGTATAAAATTTGTGAAGAAAATTTTGTTGTTTCTGATGCTTCCATTATGGACATCAACCACTTTAATAACTTAGAATGTTCTTAAAATTTATCTGAATAGCTCCACTGAACCTTCTCTCTCTTCTTTTCTCCTTGCCTGTTGCTAAGAATGACTGAAATTTATCTCACCTGTAAGTTTGTGTTTGCCCTCATTTACATCAATACAAGGGTCTTGTAATGGAGGCTGCCAAAAGCAGCCTCTCAGGCTCTTAAGAGTCCAGAAGATGGTGAAGTTGCTCAAGATTCAGGACATCAGATTCTTCTCTCACATTTACAAGTATGATTAACATTACAAGACCACATGCAAGAATATTCTTCCTACCGTGGCTTCATAAATTTACATGTGTGGGGAAGGTCTAGGATTTCAACATGTCATGACAGCATTTAATATCAAAATCATTACAGGAAGCAATTTCCCCATTAAAAGACTTGAAATTTTGCTGTGCTTTATTAAGCACCATTAAGTAAAAATAACTGAATCTGTGAGTTCGTTGGTTTTATTTTCATGGTTTGAAGTCATACTCTTACAACTCATAGTGGCAATGTAGCATCTACAGAAGAACAAACCTAAGTACATGTTTTTCTTGCCTGCTAAATTTTGTCTGTAAAATCTCCTTTGCTTTCACTTTGCTCATACTCGTTGATTTCCAAACTACCACTACTGCCTAATCACATTTGATCTGGCCAAGCAGTGCCATAAAACCATGATATTCCAGTGAGTGTGATGAGAGGGTATTTTGGATACCCTTACTCATCAAAGAAATGGAGCACAGGAATTGTGTAGCAAAAAATTCACTTTCAACTAAAACTTGAATGAAAATCCTTCAATCACTCTGCTGATTTAAAGTGACATAAAGTGATGTCCTCAGGAAATAAAAAGTTGCTAGTTATTAATTGCTGCCTTTTGTAGTTAGTGTGTGTAAAAACCAAAACAGACATTTATTTTAAAGAGATGAGGAGGGATGCTGCCCTTAGAGGATATTTCCCCTACCACACAATTCAAGTGTTATTGGATAATTCATGATGGGATATATTAAGGCACACATGTAAGGTACACTTGAAAAAAACACCAAAGAAAGTAACTATTCCCTACTCAGGCTGCTTTGTGCTGTTCTACAAACAGTAAGAGTGATGGCTGGCACACTCGCCATTCTTCTTCAAATATAGGAACAGATTTGCCTTTCCTGGGACTAGCACAGCAAATCCCGCTGTCCTACACAGTCATCCATTTTCATCATGGTTAGGGACATCACTGGAAAGTGAGTTGTGGTTTTCAGATGACCCATATAGAAACTGCTGATAATGAAACAGCTGGTTCTCATGGAGATCTGTTTCTCTATGTGCATTCAGTTTACACTAAGCTCATTGTTCACACAACAGAAAAATTGGCTGCAGTGTTGCAATAAAAATACACAGTTTCCATCAGTACGGGAAATGCTGCTCTAAGCTGATGCTTAGAAACTTTCATCTCCAGCAGATATCCATATCAGCCTTCTTTTCTCTCTGCTCAGTACGTACATCAGGTTGAAGCTGACAAGTGCTCTGCCATTTACTGCTACACTGCCCAGTTGCTTACTGATAGAGGACACTGGAATGCTCTAGGGCATCAGGCTGTTCAATTTTCCCAATGCTCTACTTTCAGCCAGGATCTTACTTTGGCATAAAAACAACCTAATACTAATACAAATAGGAATTAAAATATAAAGCAACACGTTTGATCTCTGCTTTGCTGAGAAGTATAGAAAACTGCAAAGCTGAGGCTGAAAAAATCACTTAAAATCATTGTACCAATAAATGCTGTGCTACACAATCGGCTTCTGAAATAGCCCATTGACTAGCACTGATGCAAATTAGCTCTTTAATTCTGAGCAGCACTTCTAAAATGTCATTAAAAAATCTGTGAAAATATGAGATAACTGAAATTCAAAACTTAGTGTTCTTAGGGATTCTTAAAATTTCATTGTTATTTCAGAATAATTTTGAACAGTAAAATAAAACAAAATATATTTTTAGCTTGTATTGTTTAAAAGTAAAAGCATAAAATTTAGTATCTTAACATTTAAAATTTATTTCCATGCGATATTATATTGAGATTATCATTTTCCTTTGGAATTACGTTGAAATGGCATTTTGAAGAACAATCACCCCATACATGTTATATCACCTCCAGAAGAAACACAGTATTAAGAAGAAAAAGGCAGTGTAACTGTTTAAGTCATAGATTGTCTTAGAATGAAGAGAAATATTTTAGAGGAAAAAGAAAATCTACTATTCCATTCTCTACTATTTTAACTTTTCCTTTATAGCAGCACACTGCATTCTTAGAGTACATGAGCACTCTGGTTATTCTTAGAAGATCTCAGTTCTCCTTTTTTTTTTTAGGAAATATTAAAAGAGAAGAGAATGCTGAAACAAAAGGCAAACTCATTTATTCAGAAGTCTACTATTTAATCAAAATTTTTAATGTACATTTAAATTTAAAAATAAAGTAAAACAGAATTCACGCTTACCTTTTGCTGTTAGATCCGAGTGCCACCAACTGCATAGATTAAACTCCACAAGGAACCTAAAGAAATTAGATTTTTCAAATTATCCCAAGGAATGTTTTCAGTACACTAAATTGACTGCAGTTCGATACCGTTAATCCCACTTTAAATAGAAGCTAATGCAGAACTGAAATTCATTTGGCTAACATAAGTCTGGGGTTATCAGCTTCTGCTTCTGTTGTATCTTACCACCAGGAATTTATTCCAAAATAAACCCTATTAATAAATCATAGATTTCCCTATTGCTGAACTACATTCTTATTCTTATCTGGTGCCCATATAAGCTCTTAGTGCATGGCAGCACACAGTATTTTTATTGGTGAACATTACTGAAAGCTCCCCTTCACCATGTAATGCATTTTGACTCTCCAGTAAAATCTCATGAGATTGATAACTACCCTCACTACCACAAGGAGAACAAATAAAATAATTCCCACAATTACTTCAGGATTTAAAATAATAAAAATTATTTTATTTCTAGGAGCAGCAAAGACTAATTAACTGGTATCTAACCAGCTCTGAATAGACACGTAATGAATGCATTTTCCCCACTAAAATATACTTCGATTTGCTCTGAAGAATGGACTGAAACATATCTATCAGTTACTGTAAGTGTGGAACGTAAAACCAATATCCAGTTTATCATAGGAACATGAAACGACAACATTTCTAACCACAGAAAGTTCCTTAATTTTTTGAAGTTATTATGGTTTGCATCAAAGTCGTATTTTAACACGATTTATTTTCCAGATATTTACTTTGAGCACTGCTATTAAGATCAATCTCTGCCCTCCAGCAATAGCCACCCAGTTGATTTTCCTTACCTTTTAATCCAAATTCTCTAGGAAGTTCATATAATTTGCAATTAAAAAAAAAAAACAAAAAACTGACTACAAGAAAAAAGATTAATTCTATTTCAAGGGAGATAAAATTAGTTCGATCTGCAAGCTTGCTCTCTGATAAACACTGTAAAACAAATTCAATAAATTTATAGGCTTCCTCTTCATACAGTATTTCTCTGTGAATTCACTGACAAACTTTCCTAAGGGCAATGCTCATTTTATATTAACTTCAATTGTTAGAAGAATTAGACAAGGTGGAAATTGAATACAGTCTACAGAGTATGCCTTATCTGGCATATGCTGTAAAGGGTCCATCTTACAAAAATTTAGGAGATGATGAACTCCGCAATGAATCACTCGAACAGTTTGCTGTACTCACAACAGCCTGCCCAAGCAGCATTACAACCAGACACTCGTGTTAAACACAACATTCACCGTTCAATTTAACTGCAATAATAAATTTGGTTTGTATATTGCAATATGCTAGGCTTACTAAGCAAAGACATACAGATAGAAGTGACAACCATGAACAATGCAATAGAAGTGCAACTGCACCTTCATATAGCTGGGATTTTTTCAGATTTTAACAGTGTTAAATTGGACTGAAAAAATGTAGAACTACTACCAAATTGAAAATAATAAAATAAAAATAATACAGTATACATAAATGACAAAAAGTACAAATGCTCATTAAGCATTAAAAAATACAAATACTCATTAATTTGTATAAATATCCATTAAACTCTTGAAAAAAATTACTTACAAGACAAGCTCTGTCATAATCCATTTTACTGCAGCAAAGAAGGCATTATAAGGCTGAAGAGAAGCAACTCATTTAATAAAAGGGCAAAACATGCAGTATTTATATCTTAACTGAATTCTTCATGGAAAGACAATGTTATGGATATTAAAATGCATGGGAAGCATGAGAAAAAGAACAATAATTTTGTTATGAAAGAAAATATACCATTCTGCTGAATAGCAAAATATACAGTAATGAAATTTTCTTTTAATGTGGTTGGTTGGACACACAGATTATCAGCCGGAAAAGGAAAGTTTTGCAAACTATTCTTAAATATTTAACCTCTAGGGGTTCCTATTTCCCAGGCTAATGCTGGAGGAACAGTTCTGTTAGAAAATATGGGGCTTTCCTTAGGCTGCAACTCACAGACTTGCCTCTCTATAATGTAAATCTCTATTCATTATCTCCGTCTAATGAGACTAGGAAATGCTTCTGTCATTTGAAATTACCTAAACAAAGTCATCTGTGTCATAGTGAAGGCTCACTTTTAAGCACTGAATGTAATTTCTAAGATCCTTCCACAATCTTTTACTTTGCTGGATTATAACACTTACAATAAAGCAAATATTTTTAAAATCCTTTGTTTACAGTACGACGAATAATAGAGATAAATCATAAAATTTTGGTTTATTTTTTAAAACAGAATATCCATAAGATTATTGATTTATGAAAGTATATTGTTCACTGGCATGAAATTCTGAAATAACAAGCCAGCAGAACGCAGCCCAGGACTGTCAAGGTTTTCTTCAATTAAGTACTGTCTGACCAGAGAAGATAAAACAGCTGTAAGAATTACCTAGGGATGAAGAGAAAACAAAATTTCAGCCCTGTGGAGCATCCTTTTCATTTTAATTCTCAATCAGAGAACTTGACATTTCCCACACAATTAAATATTTTGTTGTACACTTTTGCTTAGATAATACCAAATTATATAATAGAAAATAACATGTACTTATTATTTGTAACTAATATATGTAAAGTATAATATGTATTATAAAAATGTAACTTTCAATATGAGAGCTGAAAGAAAATGAAATAACTTTGAATATATCTAAAAAAAAATAAAGGTTTCAAAATCATGACTACAAAATCAGAAAAATGTGTTGGAATTTTAGCAGAAAAGAATTCATTACATAGCTAAAAACGTGTTCTCATGATATGGGATTTTATCAAGACAGCCTTTCACACTCAAGGACTGTTCCCTCAACAACTGCAACCAGGTTTTTTCTTTGTATGTATCTCAGCTATCACTGAGAGCCAAAAGTTGAGCTGGGTGATTCCATGGCACTGATTTCCTTGCAACCAAGTGGTTCTGTGGAGGTTTATCTGGGACTTAAGTAATTTGAAGCAAGAAAATATGCTAAATAGCAAACTAACAGATTGTCTTTTAAGAAGCAATCCTATACTGGTAAAGAAAATCAATAAACCATCTGTAAATCTTGTCCATCTCTAATTTACTGTTTTAATTCCACAACCTGAACACTGATACCAGACACCAGGGTCCAGCCCTTGACTTGCATTCCACGATTGTAGCAGAATGCTGTGGGACAGCTGACACATGGGCTTCCATACTTATATTCCACTTTTCTGCTGTTTAAAGCATTCATATCTGTTTTTGAACTTTTTAAAGATTTTCTCAGTCTCTATATCTACTAGTGTACTTATACAATGGTAATTCTCAAGTGGAATTATAAATATTTGGGAACAAATGCATTGTTTATGTGAATGGAATGCTGCCCTGTAACCTAATCTATGTGTGCAAAACTGTGGGAGTAAAGCAAAAGAAAAAAAAAAACTTTTGAAGAGTTGAACTTGACAATCCTTGAGGATTGAAAGAAGAGTTTTCATTATTTAATAATATAAGGAAAGAACATGCCACTTAGCTGAAGCCCCAGGTCCCAGGATGGAAGGTTGTTGTTAGAAGTGTTAATATATTTTAAATTTTTTTGTGCAAATGTGAATCACAGTGTCCTGCACTGCGAAATACGCCAACAATGTAAGTCTCATTGCACAGCCCAGTACTTCACGATATACCAATCTTATTTCAGGTTCAGGCATTAGTAAATAAGTCTGGTAAGTGCAGTAAACCCACATTTCCAGGTATTTAAAAAGCATGGGGTCATCTGAAACATCCCAAAATTATTAAACAAATCATAGATGCTATATATTTATAAATATTTGGAAGTTGCCAGAACTTTGATATTTCCTCAAGAGTTTAAGTAGGCAGGCTATTTTTTTTCAAGCTGGATCCCTCTTTATTTAAAAATAATACCATATAACTTTTCTAGACTGGTAAAATTGAAGCAGTATTTTGCTTCATATTATGCTTTTACATAATTCTTCATGATCAAACTGCCATTAAAAAAAATTCCTGTTTAATATGCAAGATCTACAGTTTAACTATTTCTAACTGACAGACTACTGTAAGTAATCAGTAACATATATAAAATACCCTTGGATTATTAATTAGACATGATTTGGGAAGAAAGATTTGTCATCCTTGCTAGGCCTGGCTTTATGCTAGTCAGGCCTTGCAAAGAGACAGGGTTTGTATCCAGAGCTGATTGCTAGAGAAGGGTTCAAATAATCATTGACATTTTATTTTAAAAGATATCTTCTTCAAATACTGTGGGGAAAAAAAAAAAATTAAAATCATTCAGTTGTATACTTCATCAATGAACGAATTATTTCATTTATGTATATATAAATAAATATATACATAAATAAATTTTAAATTTCAATTCCATCATTGTTTGTGTGTATGTGTTTACACACAGAAAAGGCATGTGTGATTCCAGCTCCCTAAAGAAAGCACAATTTCAAAAAGTCCTGAGGTAGACTCACATGGTGCAATGGACAATCTGACGGAACGTCAGACAGAAATGGGAGTCCAAGGTAAGAAAGATTGCATAAGTATTTAAACTTAAAAATGCTTAACGCTTCCTTTTGGTTTATAATGAACCATTCCTTGTATGAACTATGATAAACGCAAGAGTTTTAAGCATTCCAAATTAAAATAATGGGCTTAGAATGGCCATGAGATATTTGCAACAATTTTCTTTGATGAGTGCATGAAAAGGTGCTCATAAAATTCACTGTACTTACGTCCAGTAAGCTATGGGCACTGTCGCTACTCTCTTTGTTTGTTCTACACATGGCCTGGTAGTCATAAAGTGTAATTCTACAGAGAAGAACAGAAAACTGCTTGACTAAAAGGAGAAAACACAGTGGAGTAATCGTGGTGATATGAAACAGTCTGCTCACAAAGTAGACAGGAAAAAAAAGGGAAAAAAAAAGGAAGGGCAGCGGGGAAAAGACAGAAGGGGATTATTAAAATACATGTTGCACAAAGGAGAATAAAGGTGAGAAACTGTTAAAAACTTTGTAAGGATTTTATCAGACTGCAGAACAAAGCAAAAGTATAACTGTGAGAAAAAAAGGGAAGATACACATACAGTGTAACACACAATGAGATAAACAATGTGAGGAAGAGGAGAATACACATTCAACATGATGCTTAAACAATTGGTTCTGGACTGAGATCAGCACATTTAGCCCCAGAAAGTGAAAGAACCTATGCATTTGAGGGGCTTCTCACAACAGACCATTCAAACTCCAGAAAAGACAGAATGTCACTTCTGCAGTTTTAACATCTCTAACATAACGAAGCTGAAATAACAGTGTTGCTTCCAAAGAGAGAAGTGATATTTCAGTGTATTCATGGGACAGACAATAGAGGCAGGTTGGGATTCCTTTTGCATCTTTTCACAAGGGCAAGTATTTCATGTCAGGTACCTCTCGCAATCAACATATGCTAGAAGCCTCCTCAGATGCATAATAAATGGCAGTTTCTTTCTGCTTATGGTTTTACTCATTGACACACTTCAGAGATCTAAATGTAAAATCCAGAACTCAGAGATAGTATATGGAGTTGTGATTATTTCTCTAAATCTGTCCGTCCATAGAACAATTAACAGATTGCATCCATACATAAGAAGAAGTCAACATCAGTAGCAGATGTAAAGAATCTGTAGCTGATAAGTTACAATGAATGTAGATACATGAATGTTACTAGCTTTATTTGAATATATCCATTTGACTTTTGCATCACTAGAGGGACAAGAGAATACAATTGGACATATATGTCTTAAAGGTGTATGAGATGGGACTTCAACATTTTGCAATGTGTGCCTTGCTTCTAAGTGAAGAGGAAAGGAGCGCACACAAGTTCAGCTATGGAAGGGATGTCCCAGAAGCTGCCAAAACCAGGTCATGAAATGCATTCAGTACCACCATAAGGCATTCTGCACTGCATGCCATGAAACATAGCAACCTGTACCAACAAAACATTTTAAACTATTATGGTAGAAACTGTATACAATTTCTTCTGATCTAATTTTTGTGACAGCAACCATCACTAAAATCTTCTTTACTATGCACTATATTTCTTTTTGGCTTACAAGCAAAATATCTGAATATATTGGATCTTGCAGCTTCAGCTAAACATTTAGTACTTAGCCATAGAGCTTACATCATTCATTTCATCTTATTTTCAGAACAGAAATGGCTAGGAAGCCATTGTTTTGTGGACTGGCAGAGAGAGGCACATGGTAGACAAACGCATAACTAGAGACCTAAACATGGGTGTAAGTTGAACACTGACCATCTTTGGCAGAATCACGCCCACAGCCAGATCCGCGCACACAGATCTGCCAAGACAAACAGAGCAGTACAGGGTGTAAGCTGTGCTGCCTGTATGGCATGCAGTAATACACCACTTTCCCTAGCATTCTTTTTTTTTTTTTTCCCCTTTAGCCATGGTCAGAATAAAACCCCTGTAAGGTAATCTCTACAGCTTGCCTTTCCAGTCCTGACTTGACTATTTCATTCCTCTACTGTTAAGAACTCTACTGTATGTCCACATGGACGTGCTAGTGATGGTGGCAAGAGATACGTGTACATACAAGACAGTTTAAGGATTTTAACATGCTCTCTGTAAAGCAGTCAAAGAATTATACTTGGATGATATGGTCTCATTAATCTTGAGTGCAACAAGTTGAATAGCACTCAACTTTGTCTTCATTCTTTGTAAAAGGTTTCATAATAATTTTGGTGACCTTTCATTTAGTACTGGAAAACGCGAACATTTTCTCAACTTTCAGATCATACACTAAAACCACTTGGTCAATCTGTGAACTTTGTTATCCTGTTAAGAAGTGTTAACCAAATGCTATTATTGTGCACTGATATTTAATATTTGGAAAAATGCCTTCTCCCCTCCCCCAGTATTTATGCCTGTTAGTATTACAGTTAAGACAGACAGAATAGTTTCTTCAAATGCTCAAACATGAAAGACTGAAGTTTGTGCTCACACAGATAATCCAAAATATAACTGATACTGTGCCACAACATGCTAGATTTGTGTATTATTGTACTGTACTGCATGGAGTAGACAAAAATCTAGAACTGTATTATGAGTAACTAGAATAAAGATGTTAAAATTTGTGTAGTTAAATAGCACCTCACTTAAAAGGGAAAAAATATTAAAGTTTTGAGTGATAGAGGAGAAGAGCAGTTGTAAGAAAAATGTCAACATCAGTATGGAACACTATAATATCATTGTTTGGAAATGCTTGAATGTCATCTACGGGTGATAAAACAAGCTTAGCTGTAGTAAATACATTTGAAGGTATTGCAACTGTGAAGATTCTGGTTCAGGAATAAGTTTGCAAAAAAAATTTAAAAAAAGAGAGAGGAAAATTTAAAAAGGGCCAATCTTTAGAAAAGTGCATGACAGATGTAAAAAAAAAAAAAGCCTGGAAGAGTTGGAAAGAGTTCTAGTTTTTAACCAAGTATTCCCATGTCAGTGACTTTCAGAGTGGGCAGGTTCAACACCTATCTGAAAGTTTCTAAAGACTACTCAAACTACTGTAATACATAATGTACAAAATATACCTGCCAAAACACTATTGCCAAACGATCTTACAAAGACCTGATTCTTTCGTGCTAAAAACAAAAAGGAATTTTGCACTACACTTCAAAGATCAGAGGATGAAGCCCATAGCCATGTTGAAATCTGAACACTACAACATATTGAATCAATTCTAGACTCTCTGTCTCTGTGAATGGCATTGAAGCTCAGTATAAACGAGTTCCAAGGCATTAACAAATTCAAATACAGTTTTGCTTTGTTTTGTTTTAATACTTGTAAATGTAAGAGCCTTCCAGCCTTATTCCTTGCAAAGGCTACTACAGCATTGGTAGTCAAAACAGTACTCTAAGAGACTGTAGTGCTTCTGTGTTCAGGTGTCATTTCTCGAGTGTTATTTTATTGCTAATGTCTTTGAGATTTTACCAAATAATCTTTCCCTCATTCAGACAGACTTAACTCACTGTTGCAGAAAGAAAGGCTTCCAGATTACCCTTTTTGAAGTGATTGTGTTACAGTTTTAAATAACTGTTTGCAGCTACCCGTATCCTTTTTGACTGACTATACTTAGCGAACATAATTGCTTGCTTCCCACAATCTAATTTTAAACCCATCTAGACGCCCAATTCTATTCTGTGTATTACAGCACTCCACAGAAGAGCTTTGCTAAAGACAACGTGACTGGGGCTTTCTAACATATGGATGCTGCTAACTGCCCCCATTGCCACATCACATCACTGAAGTCTATGCAGGTTTCAACATCAGACATAGGAGAAACCCAAGCTGTGTGCAACTGTCTTGAGCTAGTGGAAGATAACTTTCTCAAAATTAAATGAGGTGTGCAACTTCAGGAGACGAATAGATTTCAGCAAAAAACATTTCAGTGTTAACTTCCAGATATAGCAAATTCCAGCCTTATACTCTGCAACAAGAAAGTGCAAATCCAGTTCAAGAAAATTAAGACCTGCCAACAGTACAGGCTATACCAACAGATGTATCCTATCGCTTCCAGCCAGATTTTCCAGCATACCTATGGATTTCTAGGTGGCAGTGTGAAATATCATCACTGATAACAGCTGAAGAATTTTCAAGGCAAACATTTCAAATACCTTGTCATCAGTTCAAGATAGTTGGGGATTTTCAAATAATTTATAAGAATAATACACTTCTTATGTTATAAACATAAGAAACGAAGTGCAGAAAATAAGCATAGGAAGCCCATGATAAAGGAAGTCCTAATTTTTTTATGCTGCTGTTTCCCAGTGGTCTATGTGAGAATTAACAGTGAATAAAGCTTACTTCTGGTTGTAAGGTGTTCATTAATCCAGACACAAGATGTATAGCCTGCCTCATACTCTTGCAAGGAGGAGAAGGAGGGACAGTACGGAATGTTGTGAAGCATAAGTCTATGTCTTAAGACTAGAGAGGGTCCCTGTTGGGAGATAGCAGCACAGCATATGAAGTTATATACTGTTTCTTTTCTGGCTCTCCTTTCATTTACAAATCATTAATATCCAGAAGCAGTCAAACTAATATTTTTCATCACCAAGGAAATGAAAAAAAAAAAAAAAAAAAAGCTTAAAAATAAATCAGAGCATTTTGAGAAAATGAACTTGTCATCACATACCTTTGCTTTGAATTCAGCTATTCCTAGTTGCCAAAGTGCTCCAGAGCATAAAATGTATAAAACCCATAACTCAGTCTGCATTTTCAGCTTACAGAATGACAATTCATTTACATTGCACAAGTCTGAGTTTCTCCTTAGGTGGGTAAAAGGATCCCAAAATACTAATTCTCTCCATGAAATTAGTAGCAATATTTACAGAGATGTAAATTCAAATTTCACCCAAACTGTTTTGAGACATTAATTTTAGATGTCACAAGGACAAGATAGGAGTGGAAAACATCCACACAGCAAGAGGAGAGTTTTAGAGCATGAGTACAAGATGTACATCTGGCAAATGTGAAAAAAAATCAGGTCTAGTTCCTTGTCATTGGTGATGACAAGAGGGCAGTGAAGTATGTTATTTTGTACCTACAAGCAGCATGCAGCTAGGAACAAGGTCTGTTTGTAACCCTGCACTAGACAATCTGCTGTATTATTCTCTTTGACAGCTATTTCATTGATGAAAATGGAAAGTCACTCTTCAGAGTAGGATAATTACATATTATTCATCTAGAAATCGAAGAATCAGTGTGTATGCTTAATAAATACTCTGTAGTGCAGATGACAGTTAATACAGGAGATGATAATAATGTTTGAGAGGAAATAAATTGCGAAGCTCATTAGTTTTTTTTACCAGGACATATAGCGAAATGACAGTTTTAAGCTGTAAGAGGGTAGACTTAAATTGCATATAAAGAAGAAATTTTTCATGATGAGTGAGCTGAGACACTGGAACAGGTCCCCCAGAGAAGCTGTAGGTGTCTTATCACTGGAAATGTTCAAAGTCAGGTTGGATGGTCTTTGAGCAATCTGACCTAGAGGAAGATGTCTGCACCCATGTCAGAAGGGTAGCACTACAAGAGCCTCAAAGGTTTCTTTCAATCTAAATCATTCTGTGATTCTAGTATTTATGCCTTAAACATGGGGTATATCTTGAGCTCACTTTTACAAAATAAATTACTACTAAAGATAGAATCTTTATAATTGACATTTATCCAATAACAGATTCAGTAAACCCTTTTGGAATTGTTCCTTTACCCTAGTACTGATCTTCTCCAAAGTGAAAATAAATACAATTTATAAATACAGCAGTGTCATATTCACACAATTTCAAGAATATTTAATTGAATCAAATGCTTAAATAAGACAAAGTAGCCTAAACTAAACAGAAGAATATCCTTCATTTGGAGGCTGCGCCGCCTCAGTGGGAATTAGCAACCTGATCAAACAGTTTCTGTTTTCATAATTTGGCTTTAGAAATGTTTTGCTCTCTTGGAGTGGCTTAGCAAAGGGTTTTGAATTTTTGTATACTCTTATAACCCAGAGGCAAAACACTTGTTAAGTTTGGAGTATGAAGTGAGTCAAGTCAGGGAAATGAAAGTCGGCCCCTATGTAAGTGCATTTAGAGAACACAGGTAAAGGAACTGGACTGCACTGTGCCATAAGGGCATAAACAGTATGCATTATTCACTAGGAAACATGTGAGTAAAGATAAAGGAACAAAGGATGAAAAAGGAAGAAACCAGGGAAGCTCTCAGAGCAACAAGAGCTTATTAGAGTGAGCCGTAGCATCTGGAAAAGCTGGAACTTGAGGATGCACTATTTCTGTCAACTATCCTAACACCATGAGACACCAAAACACAGATTTCTCCTGGTGGAAGCAAAACTGTTAAGAGGAAATGATGCTGCTTCCATATTTGTCTTATGGAATTGATTGGGTTTCTCTGTATTGGAAAGTACCAAGCTGCTTTCAAGTCAAGAGATTAAATTTTCTATAACAGATTTACTAAACTCATTTATTTGGGAATCTCACTACTTTGATGGCTCTTGATTTTCTGAATGTTATTATTTTTCTTTATATTTTCATGCTTTGAGCCATCATTTTTCCCCCCACTGTTTTTACATAAGCAGAGTATTGAGGAATCAATAAAGACACATTTTTTTCTGTTATGTGAAGCAGATACTTTTCCATAAGCACATCTTAATTTATTTAATAATGAATTTAAATCATGTTTTAACTAATTGTATGCAATATTCAGGGTATAAGGTAAACATTATTTTGCTAAAAGAAATCACGGAACGTCACGTTGCTGTGGAGACACTGATACCATTTTTTCCTCTAAATATAAAATCCATAAACTAAGAAAATATACACACGTATATACATAAATAGAATTCAAAAGAAGTACTGAGTTTAAAGAAATTAGGGAGGGAAGGAGGTATTTAAGTTCACTTTAAAAAATAAACAGCTAACACAAAAATTGAATTTCATCCTGCTGCAGGTTGAAAAGAAACATAGTCAGGAGCAAACAACCCCCTTTTGTTTAACACCTCCAGCTCAATCCTGAAAAGAACTTCTCTATCCCTCCGAATGAGTGGTAGTTGAGTGAACTCACAAAGGGTTATTTCATTCCTTTTGTGGCCAGAGAGCCCAAAAGCCGGTATGAATCTGCGAGGCAGCAGCACGTATCTGCACTCCTACTCAGCTTATTGGTAGCAAAGGAAGAGGGCTCCCATCCCCACAGTTATGGGGCATGTCAGGAAACTCTTCTGCAGAGAAGATCAGGCACTGTGGAACCTTCTACCTCTACAACAAATGAAAAAGGAGCAAGACGAGACCTGAGAGGGCAATGTTAGATTTATTTCAGCTGTTGGTTGGTAGATTTTGTATTAGAAATAAGTTGCATGGAAGGACGGGCTCAGGAATGAATGGCTAAGATCAGAGCTTGGTCTCTCATTTTGCCTTCATGCTAAGAGCAGCACTGACACAGATAATGCAATGTATATCTTGTTGTGCCCTCAAGATAATATATTTTGCCACTGCGCCATTCTACTTTTTTTCTCTTCTCTTATTCCATAAGATAAATAAATACTGGAAAAACAACTTCCCTCAATTAATAACCTTAAAAATACAGTACATGTGCCTGAGTTGTTCATTAGAGGTAGCAAATATTTTTCATTCAAGTTAGTGGAATAATTTATTTTAAAGATCTCATCCAGCACAGCTCGAAGACATTTTGTTTTCTGTTGCTGCACTGAGCTATCTGCTGTACAGCAGGAAAAGCAGGTGGCTCATTTAGAGCAATTACACCACTTTGATTCTCTCCCGTTTTTAACTGATTGGCAATGACCAGTTTATTGTTCTTAAATAATTGGCTCATCGTGTTTTCATTTCTTTAGCTTGCAGCTCTGTTTCATGGAGCTAGTGGTTTCATTATCTGTAACTCCCTCATAGCTACAGACCAGAAATATCCTGAGCCAATGATCCACTTCAAATTGCTGCCCACCACAGCCTAGGTGGAATACTCAAGAAGCGTAGCCTTTGTTTTCTCAGTTGAGGTGCTCACCACCATCAATTGTTCAGTAGATACACTGTTTGAAAGGCTTTCTAGGCGGGATGAAAAAAAAAAAAAGGGGGGGGACTAATTATAGCTTTATCCTTTGATTTTAGCTGCACTTTTTTTTTTCTTTGCATTAAATAAAATTCTTCAGCTTTTGTATAAACAGATCTTTCCATTGTAGAGCTCATTCTATAAATAGGTATTACTTCACTTCCTTTTATAGCACATGTTAAGAATGTAATGCTAAACACATAAAGGTTGCCACCCTCAAAGAATGAGGATGTAGGATGATTTAGTGAGCGCTAGATCTTTCTATTTCAGGTCAGTCATTTACTGCGAGTGGTATTCAGCTATAATGCACCGAGTAAAAGCTTTCTGCCTACAATACACATGGAAAGCTTTCTGCCTTTAAGACAGCTGCTTTACCCAGGAAACACAAAAGCCATCTGTTTTGAAAGCCTCTGTGTACACCCTGCATGCAGTAACTAAATTCAGTGGTTGATGGGAACAGCGATGTGTCATTTTTTTAATGCTAGAAATGTGCAGTAAGAGAAAAGTGAAAAGGGCTATGCACATGGACTGCACTTCTCTCATGCTCTTGCATGAGTTGGAAGGGGACAAAGGGATAAGGAGCAGTTCTCAGGATGTGTGAAAGCCATGAAGACTTTGGTGCTGAGTTACAAGGAAAAGTTTTCTTACTTTTCCAGGATGCTTAATTTATTTCAAAGGACAACACATCAAATCACCATTAGTTATATTGTCATGATGATAGCAAGATTAAGTCAATAGTCACAGAAATGTTCAAAGGTCAGTTAACATATGAGGCGAAGAATTACTGGCAGAACACTTTCAGAACAATAGGGCATCATTCACTATGTGATTTGAGCAATCTCCAACTTTTTACGGGTCAAGATGTTTAATGATTCATCAGTGATTTGCTCTAGAGCTATTCAGAACTGTTCAGTAGTAGATATGGTCTAATCTCATTTCCACTTGAGCACAGTGGGAACAGGAGAGGCACAAGGTTCTAGCATCACAGTCCAATAAAAAAGGAACTCCCTGTTGACTGTCTCCAGAACGTTTAATGAAATGTGTATGGTATCAAATTATCATACAGAATACAGAAAAAAAGGCATAATGAGAATCCAGCCAAGCTGTCCATTTTGGCCTTTCTTTATATGACTTTGTTTTTGTTTTATTTTGTCGTTTTTGTTTTTTTTTTGAAACATTTTGTAAGAGATAAAACACTGATGTAATTCTTACCTCTTAAAGGAGCCCATTGTTAGTAATTTGTTCATCACAGCCCCTTCAATCTCCCCAAAAAAGTTACCAGTCTGCAAGGGAAAAATACAAAAAATTACCAGATGTAGAAAAATGCAAAACAAAAATGGATATAATTTAAACTGGCATATTCTATGATCTGACAAGAGTCGGTTTGACAGCTACATAGATAGGTTTTCATGACTATTGCTACATAAAAACTGAAGAGGACTTCATAGTCATGGCAAGTTATACAGACTAAATTATTACCCCTGAGCAGATGTGAGAGCTTATACAATAGATTGAGGGACATTATATAACATCTAATACCGGAAATAAAAGCCATCCCAACCTAAAGCTTGCAAAGGAAACACATTAATCTGATCACAAACCCTTGTGATTAAAATGTTACTCAGAAAGATATAAACAGGTTGTGAGAGGATTCCATAAGCGGTCATAAAAAAGCATTGTTTATAATTCCTGCATGACCTGTTTAAGGAACCAGGACAGTACATTTCATCAGTCCTAGAAATTTTAACTTCATTCAAAGTCATTTTATACTTAAAACCACTCAGCCTGATGAATTACTCATTTTATCCTTGTTCAGTAGATGTGGACTAATAAAAATAAATCTCTTTTGAGAAAGCAAACATTCACATTATGAATTCGGTATGCAACATGGAAGTGACTCCATTTTCTGTAGCCATTCATATGGAATTCAAAAATCTTGTATGTACAGCATTTTTTTTTTTTTTTTTCTAGGTTGGGAAGACATTTTCTCATCTGAGGACCCCAACTCCCATAAGGATCGGATAAGTTCTCCATCGTGTTTAAAGGGAGAAATCCCACAATTTATTGGTGGAAAGGGCACTACACTCTCAAATTGCACGAATTCCATAGGTTTTGTATGAACTAAATGCCAATTCCATTACAAGGAACTTACTTGACCTCAAGTATGCACCTGGGAGTTTGCAGGCAGAGAAGTTACAGTCCAAGCCAAGAAAATGCATTCCTCTACCTAAAAAGCAAGTATTGCCTTTTTTTCTTTTTTTAAACTCAGGGGAAACTTGGAACATTTTCCAAAACATATGGGTTTGCAAAATCTCCTAGAAACAAGAGGAACATTTGTAGTTTATATGACTAAAAATACTAGCTTCAATAGCGCTGGTTGACTGATGAAGAAAGATTATCCTAACTATGGGAGAGGCAGTCAGCTAATGTCAAAAAGCCCAAACCATAAATGACTATATAACCTTAGATAGCAATAAACATGATTTATTAAGTTATGCTTCAGTCTTATGAAGACATTTCAGTGACAGTTCTTTCCACAAAAGCTCCATTTGTAAATGCTAGTTCTCCCCAAAGTAGTAACACCCAAACAATTGTTATTTTTTAATATATTTGGATTTAGTGGTAACTCAGATGAAGAATTACAGTGCCCCAGGACAAGACTTTTAGAGTGGTTCAGGCCATTTCTGGCAAGTCCAAAGAAAAACAGCACTGAAATAAGCCCAGAAAGGTGAGTAACTGAAAAGGCATCATCCCACTTCCCTATTCCTTCCTTCCTCAAAAAAGAAAGAGTGTGTACATACATATATATAGATATATGTGTGTAAAAAGCATAGACTGTAATTATCATACTATTAACTTCAGTGTTACATCAACAAAACTCACCATCTGTGGCTTAGATCTGTCCTAACTAATGGTTGAGTTTAACAGCAGTTAAGCAGCTAAATATTTGAAGGAGCTACCAGTGCTGGATATGGCAGAAGAGGAATTAGCACCTTATGCCATGATATGGCAGAAAGGTTTTCTCCCTATATATGTACATCAGAAGGCAGTGACATAGGAACAAGATTCCATAAATCTTGCCAGTAGGGTTCTTGAAAAATCTGCATTTTATCACCTGTTTCCTGACATTCTGTCAGCAGTGTATGATTCTCAGATACTTTCCTTCTTTCCCAGAAAGCAGATATGCTAGTTTGGCTTTTAGACTCACATACATTTTTGATGCTTTACCAGTAGCAACTTGAAATCTAAGTCATTACACATGTCTAGCCTAATGTTTGCCCAGCATCTGTCCATAATAGGTTCTTCAAGGGAATGTACCGGCCAGTATCAGATGACCTACCAAAGGAAAATGTTTTCCTAATCATATTTATTGGTTGTAGCCAACTACCAGCTAGCAAATGAGGTACATACTGTATGCAATTGTATACACACTTGCACACAATAATCTGGGAAAATAACCAGATAAAAAGTTTTCAGTGCATCAAGATTATTCTACAATGAGTGTTACTCTTTGGCTTAACTAAGTAAAAATACGTACTTAATAGGTAGAGAAAAAAAAACACCACCACCACCACTGTTTCTAACATAACATTTAAATAACATTTAAATAACATCATATTTTTGGTTCATGTAATTTTATGGGTCCATCTTGGAATTATATTCACAACATGCTTGACATTCCAAAACGATAAAGCAATGTATGTAATAAAGTAAAACAAAATATTAAATTTCAGTCCTTGGTTTTGCATGAAGACAACATATTGTGAAGAATGATTACTTCAAAGCACAGCACATTATCTGTTGAGCAGTTAATGCTCTAGTATAGTATAAGAAGAACAAACGTTTCAGAAGAAGTTTGCTTCCCTTGTTTACTACTTGCTAACACACTTTTCAAAGCATCAACCAAAATGGAACGAGGTACAGAGGGACACTGAGGAAATGTTATCCAGCTACTTCAGAGCTATGAAAAAAAAATCTGTACCTTTTTACTTTCAGAAATGTTAGATTTAAAGTTGATGTATTTCATGTTTTAAATCTAAAAGCAAAATGCAGTTTGGCTTCTTTTTCACCATCCATTTAGAGGTTTGTTTTTTTGTAGCTCTCCTCTCAAGTCACTCTTCTAAGTCACCCAGAGCTCTTTATGATAGCTATGTTTCTCAGTAACCAACCTCGTCACAACAAATTTAATTCACCTAAGGGCTAAGTAAGAATATGTGTAAATCCTATTCAGAGTATCAACACATAAAAGAAATTCAACTTCAGAAAACTCTGGCATAACTGGGGCACCATCCCAACTATTTCCAGGCAAAGTTAATGAAGATAGTGGTGGGTTCTTCATAAAGCTCACTGAATGGAACTGCTATACATTCTTCAGTCACTTTCCAAGAAGCAGAGCAAATCAATGTTTTGAATGGTCTCCATGAACCATGATCCTTGTCCTATATATTGTCGTGCTTAGTTTTTATCCACCAGTAACTGTAATGTACTCAGAAAGTAAATTCAACAAACAGCTGCATATCATTTAATTATCTGAAGTTTGAATATAAGAGTTCTACATCCCCAGCCTCCTCACTCTCTTCTCACACTTTACTGGTGGCAAAATTCCACAGAGACTCTTTGTACTGGGGGTAAAAAGGTCTTATGGAAGGCAGACCTTCTTGCAGCCAAAAAAGCCTTCTGAAGGAACGTTTAGGAGTTTAAGAGCAGAACCCACACCAGTGGGAGATAGAAACTGAGCTTCTGTCACATTTTATTGATGGAAGTTTTCAGTGTTATGCTACTAGTTACTTAACGTTTTAAGACAGTGACCTATTTAAGAATAACAATTACATAAATGTGCTACATGAGAGGGCTGAATAAAAATCTTTCACTTACCTGCCCATAGTCTTCAGACACTAGGATAAATCCATTGTTGTCTATTAGGTAACAGTTGATTGCCTGAAAAAGTAATACCATCATTCAGTTCTAACGTTAGTTTTGGGATGCAGTAATGTTATTTCATTTACTTCCAAATGACATTCTAAACAAATAAAGCCATCAGGTCCTTCTAATGGCTAACCTAACTTCTAAGTCTCCACCAATGGGATGCTATCTGATCTAGATTTTTATGCATACAGTTCATGCAAAACAAAAAGATGTATATAGAAAGAGAGGATGTAAGATAAGCTGTAAACAAATATAAAAAGAACAGGGTCATTGTTTTTTTTAATTCATTCTTAAAAATAATTCCTTGTAACAAAGTTGCAAAGGCACAGAGCTGCTACTACTGATTGCTTATCCTGTGTTGGGAGAAAAACATCAGCACAATGTCATTACCCTAATGATGTATTAATGAAAACACAGTGTCTGCCTGGAGGACTAACAGGGGACCAGGTAATATTTTTTAATTTGGTCAGTGGGGGAGGGAACCAGAAACTTCTGCATAAGAGGCCCCACAGGTCTCCTAAAGCTTTTCAAATTGTGTTTTTAATTGGGAACTGGATCCAGAGGTAAGACTGTTAGCATTTCGTAGGTCAGACTTATAACTTGTATATAGCAAGATAAACTGAAATCAGTGCTTCCCTCTATACATTCATACTCTATTTTAACCTCAAGTGAGTTATTCGCTACAGGCAAAGTTTTAATTACTGTGCTTCGGAGTTTAAGCATAAGGTACAACTCAAACCATGATATAACTCAGTTTCTCTTCATCATTGCCAAAAACCTACCTCAGTGTTAAATCTATAACATATTTCTATCATTGGTCTAAATCAGCTAATGTTTCTAGTGACATCTTTGTTAAAAAAAAAAATAATAATAATAATAATAATAATAAAAAAAAGTAGGATGGCTTCCAGCACAGAAATCATCATAGCTTTGCTTTTAATTCAAAACCTTTCCTGCTGTGAAGAGGCTGAACAGAAAGATGGTGAAATGTGCTACTCTCTGTGCATGCAGTAAAATCTCTTTGCAGTTTTTGAAAGAAAAGCGTGGGTGATCCTGCAGCAGCACTTGTACAATTTGATTTTTCAAGATTTCTGGGTGAGTCTGACTCTGACTCTGTTCCATGTTAGTTTCTGTTCTATGGGACTTCAGAAGGAATTTACAGAATTGTTTTAAAGAAATGTTGGCAGGAATTTAAGTTGTTTTGTTTGTTTGTTTTTGTTTGAGCTTTTGTTGTGTTGTTGTTTTTAAAGGAAAAAAAAATATTAAAAGAAACTCAAACCAGGCAAAAGTTTGTAAAGAATGTAATTCCCTAACACAAGTGTAGGATATGCGTTCTAATAGGGGAACGTAAGCTTCAAACCACCCCAGTGGCAGAAAACCTGTCAAAAAGGAAGTCTGAAACAACTAATTTCCAACCTTTGATCTGCCAGAAAACCAAAAATTGGCAAACGCAATGTGAAAAGCTGATGACACTGGCAAAGATCGGAGTAGAGCTAATGCATTCAGAAGAGGCAACTACTTAACCTCAGTGGTGTATGAAGAGTGGAATTTCACAAGTAGACTGTAACTCCAGAACACTTCTATCCCCTAAGTAAACCATAAACCTCCCACGAACTTTATAGGAGAGGAACTAAGTCAACAAAGACCTCTTTCAAGGATACATATTTGCAGTTGTCTTTGGATGAAAGATTAATCCAAAGACAGAGCATTAGAAATAGTATTTCTGCACAGCATGGAAAATGTTGAAGAGTAGTTACACTGGACAGGAGAGCGTGGACATCATTTCATAGCTCATGGATTATATCCAACTGGAAAACCACTGTCCTGACAAAAGAATTAGTAATCATGTATTGAATCTCTATGCCATAGTCATGCAATTAGTATTTTCCAAAATTCAAAATTATATTAACAACTTAGGATTGCTATTTCATATGGGCAGTTGGAAGAATTTGCATTTTGCTGTGTGAAGATAATAGGGTTTCTACTTCTACCCATTTTAGAAACTGAGGAATTTAGGCCATTCATTCATCTACCCACCAGCAAGATAAATAACTTTTGCTATCCAGTACTGCATTAAAGAATCATTTTCAGATGAAACTTAGCACTGACAAAGCACAGTAGGGTGCATTTACTTTCAGCAAATCTGAAACAGAAAATGTCAAATGCAAAATTAATGCATAGGATAATAACATTTGCATAGACTAGAGCTGTATGAAAAAGGCTTAATTCACAATGGCTCACAGGTGTTGGAAGTGAACTATGCACAGGTTTGCCCAAAGGTTCAAGATCAGTGAACTTGAGATTTCAAGGGAATGTTCCGCAGGTAGAGAGTCCCTGAGCTTGTAAAATACAGCAGGCATGAAGTCCAGAATAAACACACCAAGAATGTTGACTGAGGTCTGAGAACACATTTGGAGCACAGTAACTTTGATCAAGTTCAAGTCCTCTATGTTTTTGTCACAGCTCCAATATATAACAGTAATGGAATGTTATATGGGTTACAAAACTAAATATGAAAAAGAAAGAAAACAAAAAACTAAAATAAAATGTGAGGCACTTGGAAAACAAAAAAACAAACAAACAAAAGAAAAAAAGAGCAAATCCAAAGCTGTAAAAGAATTAAAAAAAATTATTTCTGAGGAATTGCAAATCTGTCATGCTACTGTATTTTACAATCAAAATTATTACAAGGACTCGTCAACTAGTTTTGTGTGAATATTGTGCCTATCTATTTCTATTAATTTCATTTCTTAATACTTTTAAGTGCTTTAATTTGTTTAGTAATTGCTCAGCAGAGATTTTCTTACTGTTGAGATAAGGCAGCTTTGAAATATTAAAGAATACCTATAATATTTGACTGAGTCAGATTAATAATATGTTTTGTCATTACAAAAATAAAATACAATAAAATATAAAATAAAATGCAATAAAAATCTTGAAACATCTACATTACCTAGGTTCACACTATTACTGAATTTCTCCCTTTGCTTATGTGGCTCCTGCTGGTGTCAAGTGAAAATAGCTGAATAGCTGAATAGCTTTTAAACGGACTGTGCTTTCTTTGCATACCAAAGGAAGTTCTGCATGAATACTCAGCAAACTATGCCTATTTTTACTAACTAGACAAAGGAATAAAAAGAAAAAAGTGGATTATTTTTAGAATGTTGAAATCTTTTTTACTTTATTCTTGGTTCTTTCTCATGACGTACTAAAAATACTTCTCCAGTCATGATAATATCCTTAAGTTCCTGTTTTGATGAAGCAGCTAAACATGTTGCTGAGAGAATGCCTTACACAAGAAAGTGTGTACCACTACTGTGGTACAAATGGACTAAGGTCTATTTCATGCCAAAGACGGCATGATCGTCATAGTTCTGTGTTTGGCTTACTGCAAAATTTTCCAATTATTTCTTGTTATTTCTGACTTCCAACTGTTAGAGGTTCTGGTATATGAGGTATGCTGATTTGATCTGCTGAAGAAGTCAGTGCTCAACTTTTGCAATTGCTGATGTCTCAACTTTCACCTTCATCCCTGGAATGGTTTTTGTGAATTTCATATCATAGAATCATAGAATCCTTTGAGTTGGAAGGAACTTCTAAGGGCATCTAGTCCAACTCCCATGCAATGAACAGGGACACCACAGCTAGATCAGGTTATCCAGGGCCTTATCCAGCCTTGCCTTGAAAGTCTCAGCGAAAATTGAATTTACGAATCTATATCCTGGACTCGTTTTTCAATAAAACACATTTCAGCATCAAAATATTTGGAGTTATGAAGTAGAATCCTACCAGTGAAATTTCTAATACAGATTATGCATAATTTAAACTTTTTATACATGAACTTTCACCAAACAAATCCAAAAATTAAAATTGTTTGCCTTGTATGTATATACAGAGAGAGAAAGTAATAATAGCAAATGTCAGAAAGAGCTCCTCAAATACATTTGTGAACATTTTTGACCATAGGAGTTATTTCACTTTATGTAAATACATTTGTCATCACTAATTTTTTTAATGTGCTAAACAGCCATGAATAAATTTAGTGCTAGACAACATACTCCCAATGAATCTACTATGGAATAGGTAGGAGTGCAGTCAAGACACTGGTAGAGGTGGAAAATGCTGTGATTTTAGGAAAAATACATTAATATAGGACATGCAGCATCTCTGCAGAAAGAATGGAAAGTCTCATTCAAATGCTAAAATAGTCAGAAAGAGATTGTTACGTAGAGACTAGAAGTCAGATAAGAAGCGACAGCAGAAAAAGGGAGAAAATAAAGACTTATGGAATAATACAAATAATACATTGTGGTACCTATTTTAATAATTAATGACAGAAACTTGTGAGAACTTCAAGATCTTTGGAAGAAACAGCTTCAAGAGAAGAGATGAGGAGGGACTGTTTAAGCATCAGAGTTTGCAGAACAGTATTTCAGTTTGCTAGACGCGTACTGTATGTAGCACTTTGTTGAGAAGGATGTAAGTGGCAGCAGAAACTGAGGCTGCACTGACTGCTCACATCTGGTGATACTAAGAGCAGCTGGCCTGAAAACAACTGAGCATGTATAAAACAAAACAGAATAAAACTGTATAAAAACTTTACAGTTGTATAAAAAATGTTATTCTATGTTAAAAAAGATTGTAAAAAATATTACATCAGCACAAATTACAGATGCAAACAGACGCTTGCTTTTTACATGTGTTTTGCAATAGTTCTTTAGGGCACGTATAAAAAGAGGATGTCTTATTCATCTGATTATCTCCTGTGATTCTAGAATTACTAGAATCATCATTTTTCAGGGTAGTGCTTCTGAGTTATACAACTACAGCCTGCAGTTTTTATTTCTAGTCCTACGAATTAAGGTTTCATCATACCTAAATAAATGTATTTTTTTCTAGCACAGTTATCTGGTGATCCCGGTCTCCTCCACCATTGCTTAGTTTGGAGATCACACAGGGCTGTCATCAGTAAAAGTTTATGTTTTTTTTTTCCAAAATACCAATAAGAACTATATATGATACAATAACAAAAATGCAACCCTGATTTTCTATGATCTCATGCATCTAACTCCTCCACAAATATAAATGCAGCTTGTGCTTTGTTAACCTCTTTTTGATTCATTTAACTTATGATAAATTGCTTAATCAAAAGATCATATAGTCGGATATCATATGCTTTGCAGAAATCTATGCGTAAGATACCTAATATATTATTTTCATTTACCAAAGTTTACCAAAATACACATTACTTAAACAACCCCTTCGGTGCATTAATTAAGAACTACTGACTCAGACTACTTCTTTCCTATTTCTGAAGTGCTATTTTTGTATCCATTCTGCATAGGCTCAACTTAAAGTTCATGTTTTATACTAGCGTGAATATTAGATTAGCTTCTACCTCAGGTGAACAATAAAGAAGATAAAAATACACCTTTGAGAATCTTCATGTGACTTCCAAAACTGGATTCCTGAGCAGAATCTATTGCAATGCATATTTCAGGTATCGCTGTCAATCTCATAAATAAATGGATGTTCACAAGGAATTATAAAATGAGTTTCACTATATAAATTGCATAATAATTAGAAGGCAATTCCTAATTACATCAGAAATACAACTCTCACTGTACATATAATCAAGTTCATGCTCTACTGCAATGGAAACATAAATGGAAAATAAAGAGCTGTTAAATACTTACTTCATCATCACAACTTATTGCACATCTGCCATCAAGAGATGCACACTAGAGACAATATTAAAAATAAATATTTTCAATTCCAGATTGATGATTATGAAAAATGACAGTTTCAGAAATAAGGTGAGTGCTATTATAATGGTGTTGAAATTGATTACATTTTTATCAAAGGCCCCAGTTGTTCTAAAAGCAAGAGAAGGAAAGTGTTATATCTGTTCACCAATCTTTTTCTGCTCCTGTCTGCACTCACACTGTATCACTTTCAAGTGTTTTAAACATCATCATCTCCTTTTGTTTAAAAGCTTGGAAATTATTCATCAGTAAGAATACAAGGTTTTCTAATTGGGGGGTGGGAGGAGGAAGGGAGGGGTTGGACATGCATTTTAGGAGATGGTCTCTGGAATCCTCAGGAAGTGTATGATTGTGTATGTTTACTCCCTTCACTGAATACACATGCTATATATCCTAAACATCTTAGTGATAGTTTATCAAATACTATAGATGCCAAGCATAATTCAGTCACATCGTTTAGTTGACTGATTTAGGTGATGCTGCAATTAACCCAATGTCAGAAGAAAGGTACTAGATTTGCAAGAAAGTTCAATTCTGCTATTACTGAAAATGAATAGGTATCACAGCTTGGTCTGCTGTTTTTCTTTTATCTGAAGGAGAAAATTAAAGTGTGTCAGATCAACAAAGCAACTCCTTATATATAACAACTTTTTTCTTTGTTTCCATAAATATGGAATCAAGCATACTGAACATCCTTTTCATCTGCAATTAACTAGAAGGTTATAATATAGTGTAACAACTTATGTGAGGTATATTTCAAATAAAATGCTTTACAGCAATTTTGTGACAAACTAATTGTGGATCAACTACACAGCTAGAAAGATGTTGTGAATTCAATGACAAGGAAAATTTCCATTTAAAACATACCTGTCTGCTTGCTGTCCAAAATTTACGCTGGAAAAATTCAAGTTTCATCTGTATACCTACAGCTGGGAAATACATAAATAAAAACAGTATGTTATATAATTGCTTCAAAACTATGATTTGAAATAAATCAAAAGCAAAAATAGTCCTATAATAAAGAGGGAAAGAAAGTCCCATAATAAAAAGACACCAGTGATTAAATAGGAGAGCACATAATTATATTTCAAATATTACTAATACAATGTGACAATTACACAAGGAAAACACTGAAATTACAGACATCTCCATATTACTCAAAAGAAGCACAAGCTGAAGATATTTATGTTCAAACCTATCTCAAATTAATATTCTACTGATGGTAATACAACAGCTGTAGGAACACACTCTCAGCTCTACGTGCTGAAACACACAAATGTGCTAAAACAACAGGAGACTTGGTTCAAGAGACTTGGTTAATATTTCAAGTGATCATGTATAGGAAACTTGAACAAAATTTCATTTTCTCATTCCTTATATTGGATCCACAATAAGAATCATAAGAAAACATATTTACCTTTTTATCATCGGTAATTGTTTTTTTGCAAATATAAGCATGCTGATGTCATGAACATATTTTTCTTCTGTCTTAGCAGGCAGGAAAAGGTATGTGCATAGTGGGTTATAAATAGTTTTTTACTATCAATAACTCATTGACGTCTTTGCTTAACAGAGTAAGGACAGAAATCCATCTCTTCTTTAGAATGAAATCCAGAAGAAACTCTCTCCAACTGCATTTTATTGTCTAGTAATTTATTTTACAGTCAATGAGGAGATGCTGTCTGACAGCCATGCAACACATGTTTTCTACATCTGTTCTTTGCCTTTAGGTTTACTCCTAGTATGCAGGTGATCTGCACATCTCATTCCTTTTTCTGAAATGGAGGAAATGCATACTCTCAGGAAGTTTCCACAAATGCATCTCAAACACAGAAATATCTGCTATACCAGTATTTGAAATTTCAATCTCATGTTACACTTGTAGACATGCATTTCAGCATCTATAAGTTAATGTAAACACACCAGCTTGTATTTCCTAGATTTCATCAAGCACAGTCTATGTCTTGTTTTACACACGTGAACATTTCTTTTCGAATCACTGAAGAAACTGCATGATCAACAGATACAGAAGTAGGTATCACGCTGATTCAAAGCCTAGACTTACCTTGAGCAGTCAAAGCCTCAAACTTGTAAAGAAATCATTAAAATATCATTTCTCATGTAATTAAATTGTATGCATATGTAACTTTATGCAGGAGTTTGGACGTCAGGAGAATCCTCCCAATCTGAACTATTTTATGATTCTTAGAATAAAGTCTAAAATGTGAAGAGAAAAGCTAACTACATAGTCCAGACTCTTAAATAAAAGAAAACAAATGTGTTCTAAAGGTCTTCCAGTGACCAGTATAAATTTCATACCACGAGACAAATTCTGAAAAGAAACAAGATATTTACAAGAAAGCTCATCTGTAAAACATTCCATGTGAATGTTTTAATCAGTTGCATGATGGAATGCTGTAGCACAAAGACAGCTGAAGTCCTTGGACTAATTTCTGTGAAATGTAGAGCATCCTTCTTCATGAGAATGAGAGGACACAGACAGTTACAGCTTTATTTTCACAAAATTAGCTCTATGAATTTTGATACTTAGGGAAACTACGATGAGATATAAGAGACCAGGAATGAATACTGAACTCGCTCTCTCTCAAGCAAACACACCCTCAAGAGTAATGTAGTTATTGTAGAAAGTGAGACCAGACTTTACCAGTTACTGCCTTCCTTCCTTCCTTTTTCAAGATTGATTCCATTTATTTCCATACCTAACTTCTAGAAGAGCTCTATCATCTATCTCTCAGGTACAATATCACTGAATGAGGTAAACTTCAAAATTTAAACTTTTGCCTGCTCTGCTCAAGGTCATTCAGTCACAGTGGCAACTTTCTGAGTATAACACACAACAAAATATGTATTTCCCATATGATAGATTTGCAATCCTTGTAATTGTTTTTTGTTTTGTTTTGTTTTGTTTGTTTTTTTTTATGAACAGCTACATGATTTGTACCTATGTTTCAGGATTGGAGGAGAAAACATATCTCCCATATACACTGTACAGTGAAGACAGCATTAGGGATTTGCTTTGAATAGGGATGTCTTGCTGTGAGATTTTCATCTCACCATTGTTTTACCTTTTTTTTTTTTCCCTTCATGAAAAATATGACATCACAACTTTTATGTCACTAAATAACTTCTATATTTCTTATGTGACATATAATAAATGACATTTATTTTTCTGTAACTCAGTTAGTAAGTATAGGATTAACCTTTATTTAAAAGAATTAACATCTCTATTCTACACTTTTTTTTTACATATTCTCTACATTTTTTTCAATTCCTAAGGTGATACTAAAGCATCTTCACATGCTTTCCTCTGAGCTTTTCCAGTGCAGGATATTTTTGGTTTCAGAACCAATATGTTCTTATGAATAATCTCTAGTTCATCAGCATTCAGAACTTCAGAACAAAATATTTGTGCTGGCATTTGTTTTTGTATTTAAATTTATGTTTTATAAGCTGGCTACATGTTCAGTTAATGGGAGCTACCAGAGAGGCATGAAGGCTCTTTCTCCACGTACTTGTCTATTTTCTGTAACACAAAATGTATCATTTCATATGAATACTCCAAATCCAAGTAATTGTGTCAACCATAATATCAAATTTACTTAGGCAACTTCAATAAGCAGCTTTAACGCTGTGCATGGATAGCAGACATTCAACATTTTTTTCCTCTGTTTAATACAGTGATTGGTATTTTGTAGCACATACTCTATGAAATAAGAAGTTTAAGAACTATCAATTTAATTTCTTGGCTCCATTAATTTTTAAATAATCCATTTCCATTTCCTTATGCATTTATTCCAAGGCTGAAGGTAACAATTCATTGTTTTTTGTAGGATGCTGTAAGAATAAAGTTATTGGGAAGGGCTCAACTTCCACAGAACTCAGGCCCTTTTAGTATCAAGGAAAAAATCTAAGAAAACAAATAAATTATTTGAATAGATCAGAATTGCTTGTATTCATCTCAAAATCTCCATGGTTAAGCAAACAGACAGAATGATAAGGAAATCCTCCCTCAATAAATTAGTCTTGTTCTGTGTAGGGAATTATAAGAGTTCTTGTACTCTATGTAAAAAGGCCCAACTCCTACTTAAAATGAGAGAGGAAAACAGAGCAGACTGATTTATTTCAAGCATGAGAGGAGATGAAACTCCCTATAAACCTGGGAGAGATAATCAAATCCACAGACTGAAGGAAAAAGCAGTAAAATGTAAAAAGGTTTCCATTCTGTAGAATATCATAGAACTTAACACTATACAAAAGCAGAAGATTAGCAAGATTAAAGAAATATCATAAAGTATCTATTCCCTTTTTCCACAGTAGAGTATAGATAGCCTAAGGTAATTTATCATACATAAACGATGCTCAACATTTTAAGGATAATTGGACATCCTTTTTCTGATGGAATTATCTTAAGGGAGGCTTAATTTGCTTTCAAAATAATAAATCTTGGAGACAGACTTGCAGCAGGATTATTTTTCTTTACCTGTATCACCTTTGTGCATTAAGCTGAGACTCCTTAAGATGTGTTTCTTTCCAACTACTTCTATTATCTCTTAATATCTATTAAAATACCTAAAAAAGTAAATGTGAATTATTCTAGAACAGATTTAATTACTTACAAAAAAACTGATTGCATTTCTTTTGTCTATAATCTAAGTCTTTGATTCAGTTCAAAATCTTTCTGACTTTAATTTCGGCTTATCCAAAGCTTAAGAGGCAGAATATTATGCTCCATGGTACAATATTGAGCAATAAGCAGCCCTACTGCCAAAAAGTACCTCTGTTAGAGATTAACTGAAGTATCTCACATCCAAAGCTGATGTTTTTCTAAGTATTTATAAATATCTGTAAGATATTTATGTTAGGTTCTGTACAAAACGTTTTAGGTATTATAATTAAAAATAGTCAGTTGTTTTCTCAATACAAAAAGGGTTAGCTAATAAATTAAAGGTATTTCAACAGAATATAGTAATATGTAGTAATATAATTATGGTTATATTCTCAGTAATACTAATTATTTCAGGTTACATTAAGCAAGACATGAATTAGCACTCATTGAATGTGTACTTCTCAGACTGCTTCTAGTCCCAGTTACAGTTTACTAGCAGAGTAAAATTCAGTTTCAGTCTTCCAAACTTCACACTTCATTCAGTATTCTTCTTGATCTCAGTGATCTTTCAATTCAATCTATACCTATCTATCATTTTCATTTCTTTTATTAAAAAAAAAAAAAAAAAAAAAAAAAGATGGCCAGAAATTTAACATGAAAACGTGTTGGTTTTTTTTTCAGGGATACTAGACACTAACTTTTAATTAGAAAAAAGCTGGGCCAAAATATTAAGTAATTGTGTGCTGCCTTCTGTTTTTCTTACAAACTGGACAGTTCTTACCCAAGGAAAATTAAATATCCCATATTTGGACATGTGGATTGTGATACAATTCATTAAATACCCTCTGCAGCGTGTTGGTTACTTTTTGTTTGATAATTGTTTTTTCTTTAAGCAGGGTAGAGTAGGGGTTAGTGTCATTATTATTATTTTTTTAATATTTATTTGTCATTTACAACGAGAAACAATATTAAGGAGAAATTTATCAGTGAAATTTATCAGTGTTTCTTTGTTTGGAACTTTTCATACTGTACTGCAGTCATTTTTCATGATAAATAGTATGAGTTTTTTTTCCACAATAGAAAAATGACAAGAAATAACATTTCATAGCTGAAAAGAGGCTGACAATCTCTGTATTGGCTCAAAACAAAAATTATTGGACAAGCAAACCAGCAAAAAATAATAGACCTATCACTTGAATCTACTACATATTTCTTTACTCTTAAGTTATCCTAATAATATTCTAAAATTATTTTTAAAATGCTTTAGTGTTACATTCATTCAAAATCCTTGTAAATGCACAC